TTTTTTTCCCCCCCCCCCCCCCCCCCCCCACCTCAAAACCGTCAGTTTGAGGTGGAAGACAAGATACAACAAAAAGGCACCGATCATATCGGTGAGCACTACTGGCTATGTAAAAATACTTGGAGGGAAGAGGGTGGTTTTTTTTTTGAGGAAGAGAAAGAGAGAGACGGATGTTGGCTGGGTGATCGCCGCCTGCCCCTTAAGTCCCGTAACTGTAGCTGCCTTGTGAACCTGAAACGGGCATCTCAGAGCAGTGATCCTGACGAAGCTGATATGCTCCACCCCTCTCCCCCCTTCTTCCTTCCACCTCTTCCGCGCGTCTACGATTTTGATGACCCATCCCACCGACATCCGCGAGAACACCGACCAAACTGCCAGGCAATGCACTAGCCCAACCACACGCCAGAGTGAAGCACGACCGCTACGAGTATCTGCTCGCAAAATCTCTGCCAACCCACTACCGTATGCAAATTTCCGGTACAGTGCCCTTCCTCTCTCATCGGCCTCACGCATGCCTGTAGTACAAGTATTGTCTTTCCACCTCGCCCTCTACCTCGCATTTGTATGCCTCGCAGCCCGTCTCACTCTCTACCGCACTCACAAGGTACGCGCTACTTTCCAGGCAGTTGACTGAAATTTCGCTGAGTGCTGTCGAATGCCGTTACGCCCCACTTCCTGCGGCCCTGTCCCGGCTACCTCTTTCGGATACAGTTCTGGGCTCAATGGACAACTAATAGTTTCCTGACTCAAACACATACAAATCGTAACGAGAGCTGTTTATCCAGAATTTCCACGTTTTTGGCAGACATAAGAAAAACAGCAGTGAAAACCATTCACATCCGACAACATCCAACATCCATCAGACAAACATCCAACATTGCATTCAACAAACAAACAAAACGCGTCCAACAATGAAAATATGTACAAACATTGAAGGTAAAACAGTGAGTAGTGACTCACAAGTAACAGTAAAATTAGCCACACAGTGCTTGTAATGCACATGATTATTAATAGTCAGTCACAATTTTAGCACATTTGAGCACTAAAGTTAAAACGATTCAAGGAAACATTGATGCAGTGAACGGTACAATTATAAATTCGAATCAGTCAGTTGCCAGCTAGTACCAGCCAACTTCCTTTCTCCATGCTACGTTCGCTTTTGAATTTGATTGCATCTGGTAACGGAATAATTCCATGTCTTAAATGTCAACAGCACAGAGTGACATTTATGCGCTCAGGGCGATCGCTCTCTGGTACTATCCAGTGCTTTTTGTGTCAAACCTAGCTAGGAAGCTGAAATTTCACCAGGATATTTCATGCGCATAAGCAACTTAAATGTTTTTTTTTGAATTTAATATTAAAACATGCCCAGGTCTCGCGTCCGCTCTTGATGAATTTTAGTTTGAGACAGTCAAAAAAAAATTGTTGACGACGTCGGAAATAGCAAAACAGTAGCACAAAAATGGAATTTCTGCAAAACTTCGAAAAAAAAGTTGATGATTAGAACTATCGTCTCTTGTGAGGAAGCAACAGAAGTTGTCCCTAGTAAATGCCAACAGAAACTCCAACCTCTGGATCGACGGGTCTCAACCGAGAGTACTACCTATTTTTTTGAAGCAACCTGATGGCAGTTTAGACCCTCTTAACATTTATCAGTAGCAGTTTCTTACGCCATAATACCAGTTTCTTATGCTCAGTGTAGTTGCGCCGTCTCGACCCTGTCGGTGGGACAGTCCTACAGTTCGCTCATTTCCTTTGACGGCACCACCTTTCATCACTGCATCATACTTATTACATAGCTGCACAAAAAAAAGCAACTGTAGCTGCAAAACGAATGGGAACATTTGGCGTTAATGGGATTGTTCTAGTGCAGACAGACCTAGAATAACGCCGAATAAAGGTAAGTGGACGATTATGAAAAGAAAACATAATGTCATGCTTGAAAATGTGAACTGTCATCGAATCTAGCTTCGCTGCAATCTGACCATTATGACGACGTTGGAGTAACATGCCTCAGCGGCTATAGATACTGACGGGGATTGACCTGATAGGTGGATCGAGGATGTGGAGTCTTAGCCAGCATTTCCAATAATCTGAAAAACCAACTATAAAACGCATCAGCACATCTTCTAGCCCAATTTCAGGAAGCGGTAGCCCCACCTTGAATTGGAGACATACACTTTGTGTTGGAAGGGATGTTATCTGAGATCGCTACTCATCTTTTCGTTCCACTACCGTTTTTCAGCAACAGCAAACTGTTATCATTATTACTGTTCTCGTTGTTGTCAAAAGTAACGTCATCATTTCTGATCGAATCAGAACGAAAAAAAAGAACTACTTGCCCATCGCGCCGCTCAGCATCGCTCATTGTAGATTTAGTGTATATAGCTTCTACTGTGCAACTGGGCCGCGATTTAAGGAGCGATTTCGATAAATCGGCGTCGAATTCATATATTCCATTGACGCAAAGATGATCCAGGTTCGTCAGCATACATAGAGCACTTAGCCCTTCTCTTGTTAACTGAAAATTTGCCATAATCAACGTGGCAAACTTACTTCAAAAAAAGGCGAAACAGGTGAAGTGTTAACGGACGTGGAAGATATTTTTTGAAATTAGAAACATTTTCTATGGGCTCCCATGCTATTAGTGTGAGGTACACCGTGTTACTAAGTTTTAGCCAAAGACTGAGTGTGCAGATGTGACAAACTTCCCCACTTCAAACTGCAAGACATACACTGACATAGCTTAGCACTTCGTGTTCATTTACCCCATTGTTCGAGTACCACTAATTTATCAAGTGCGATTAACAACATCCATTCAAGAAAGCAGGATGCACTTTCCCAGTGGACCTTCGCGACTGTGTACCGCAAGCTGTTCATTTAATCACAGAACTGCACAAAAGATCCTTCGCTACAACACTTTTTACCACAGAGCTAGCGCTTTTTTCCCTCTCCTCCCGTCAGTAGTCATGCCTTATATCGCTAAAATGCTGTTAAAGGAATGAGGAAATTGAAAATCTACAAACTATTGCTTGAAACAAAGGAAGCATTTGCCTTTTGCCTCTGTCAATACTATTGACCAAGATGCACCTCCTTGAAATGTGATATTTGCAGGTGAACATAACAGAACGCGGGCGCCAATTAACTGTGAAATTATCTTAGATGAAACCTGACTAAAAGAGCACCATTGTGCAATAACTGATGTCGAGAACACGGAGTAGAGGGATGCCGGAAACAATGTGAGTGAATGTTTCATCATCCATATCTATTAAGCCACTGATATACAGCTCCTTTAGTTTGGCGCAAAGTCGAATAGTCATCAGTGCTTCATTGCTAAAACAGCGCATAAACAGTGAAAGCAGTCAAACGAAAGCATTTAGTGCAATGTACGCCAGGAACAAGAGTTGGGCAAGTCGAGGATGAAAAGCAACAGATGAGTAATGTGAACTACCGGTTAGCAGTATTACAGCAGCGCAGGCGCTAAGAAGGTTGTTTGCGCTTCCGCATGAAGCTGTGCGGATTTGGTAAACTCAAAACCGCAAAGCTGTGTCGATGGCAAAAAGGATCACAATCATGGAAAAGCCATAAAGCGCTTGCAATTCATCTGCAATTTGCATTCATCTGCAGTTCATCTGCAGTTGAATTGAAAAAGCCTTAAAAAAATAAATGGAAAATAGACAAGAAACCTAAGAGTTGTGCAATTTTGAAGCGACAGCACTTCTAATTCGCAACATGCAACAGTGATTGCACATAAAGCCTCGTCTTTTAGATGAGCTTTACTGCAGTTCAGCAATAAGCACCTGCAATGTACATAGTATGCTTACTTCCCATAACCACAGTAAAAACACTCACTTCCAGAGATTACACCACATGTTTGACAGTAGTACTGAGCAACGGTAACATCTTTTGCTGTACTTATTATTATGCATTTTTGCACATTTATGCAAACGTAACCCAGGCTGGAACGCACGAAGCTTGTCGGTGCGATTACGCGTTTTTTTCACTAAACTCGCAGACCGCTAATAGCAGGAAAGATCCCTGCGCTGCAGCCTAAAGTTTGGGCTCATAATGATAGCGTTCTGCCTTCTTTCAGCAAGCAGGAGAAAGGGCGTCGGTTGAGATGAAGGTATTGCACTGTAGGCTGCTTGGATTTCCTGGTACATGATTGCTAGTTATGCGTTTTTGCATAATATGCAAATGCAAAAACGCATATTGTGACGACCCCGGTGTCTGTGTGTGTATGTGTGTGTGTGCGTCTGTCCGGATATTTCAACTCGGCACTCAAGCAAACTCCGGCGCTGAAATGTTGCCAGTGGTTTCCCCACCCGAGTGCCACCCCAGGACCGCGGTACCAACCCTCAAGCACGTCTAGGCCCCGCGTACGAGGGGGTTAA